CCGCCAGGGCTGTAGGCCAGTTAGGCTTTGCATCTGTCAGAGAGGCACCTGGGGAAGGCTCGGCTGACTCTCGGAAAAGCTGGGTTTTTTGGTCATTGTGTTATTCTATGAGGAAACCACAGCAGGGACCTGAGGAACTCATGAAGCTTCTGAAATGGCAGGCACAATTTTGTGTAAGTGAAACTTTCTTAGGAAGAGATGCTTAGCTTTCATAAGATTCTTAATGTGATCCAGGTGCCCCTCCCTTCCCAGGGGTTAACAATATTTCTTAGGTTATTAAATCAAGTTGTGCAAACAACGAATGGTGAAACACAAAACAACACTTCAAAGTACCAAATGCTGAACATAGTAAATACAACAATAAATGCCAGAAGTGCCTGAATGAACTAAGAAGATGCATTACTGAAATCATCCTAACGTGACTAAAATTTTCTCATAGGAGTCTAAGTTTACAGAAAAAGAAAAGGAAAACAAATTATGAAATGAATAAATACTAAGGAATTATAAATGGACAATATAGTTTAGGCTGATGATTCTGGAATCAGGCTACCTGGTTTCAAATCCTGGATCATCTACTTCAGCTACTTTGTGAATTTGAAAAAACAACTGAATGTTTCTGTCTCAGTTTTCATTAAGAAAATGGCAGAAATGATTATTAGTATTAAATAAATAATGTAGGTAAAACAGAATAAATACATTAGAAGTATTCAAATAATTACTTGTTATTATCCTTAAGCTTGAGAGTAATTAAATCACAATACTTAGTATTTTATTTTTAAAAGCATCCATAAATTTTCTCTTAGGTAGAAAATCACAGTCAAATATTTATTAGTAGAGATTTATTAGTTTGTTTTTCCTGGAATTTATTGTCAGTACAGTCTAAGAACTAGTACACTAAACATTGATATTATCAGCAAGCCTCAAACTTAATTGCCCATGAAGAAAATCAGAGTATGTACTAAAGCTGAAGGAGCATTCAATTAGGAGCTTTTTGGTATGCAGAAAAGCATCTCCAGAGCACAAATGATGAATAAAAATTTAGCTATTCAAAAAGAAATTTGTAAAAATCGAGAAACTAGAATGCATTAACCACAGATTAGAAATTTCATAAGCAAATGTGCAATCATACCACTAATAGCTAACATAGTACAAATCTATCACAAAGGCTGTTGAAGAAAGTTGCCCACTGGCTTCCGGGCTCTTCCAGCATTACTAAACCATTCCACATTGCAGTCAGAAGTGAGAACATTATGCCTCAAAAGGAGGCAGTAAGATTTGGCCAGTTCTAGGAATGAATCCAAAAGAATGTTCTCCTATCATTAGATGGCACAGGATCCAGAAAAACAAACATTTTACTCATTAAGATTGTTTGCATGCAGTGCCTGAAGATCTCAAAGTTTGTTAATTCTAAGCTGTTTTAAGCCATTACTGAGAAAGATAAGACCACAATGAAACAGGTCACATCTACCATATGTCTCAGAAATGCCTATATTTTTTAAGTTGCCTACCATTCCCTGATATGAAACCAGCCTAAACATCAAAAATGACTTAAGACCACTGGCCCTCTCCACAGCCCTTAAAAATAGTGCACTTTTCCCAAACGTCTTTCCTTGAACCCTTGCTGTTACCTATTTCTCCCTGCAACTCATCGATTCTCACAGCTTTTACCAACCCCTGCTGATGACTCCTAATTCAGAGTACTAGCTCTGACTGTGCGACAGACACCCACCGACCCCTCTCCCTGAATTCTACACCCTCCCTCCTACTCCACTCCTAGCCCAGACTTTGTTTCTCTAAATGCGCTACCCCATACTAACAGTGTTAAATTAATAAATGAATTTTCTCCTTTTTCCCCCCTCAGTTATGTTTCCAATTTTTGAATTCTATGATACTAATTTTGGTGTTTGATTGTGTTAAGTTGTGTAAGATCTTCTTAGGAGGGACGCAAGGTAAAATTAAACACTCAGTTCTTAGGTTATCATTATCCTCATTTCCCAGACTGGAAAACTGAGAGTCCCAGTCAATTGCCGAGTGACGCAGACACTGCCTTTGGGGTATCCTTCATTCCTGTCTCCTTTCTTCCTTCCTGCCATCATTTCCCTATTTAAAATCCTTATCATCTCTTACATGGAAAACATTCTAGCTGCCATCCCTCTCTCTCTTCAATCTGTTCTGCACATGCTGTCACATCAATTTCCCAAAGCAGAGCACTGGTCAAGCCATTCTAGTGCTCAGATGTTTAATGGGTGCACATTCACTACTGAACCAGTCATTAAACTCTCCCTGGCATGCAAAGCTCCTCAGAATATGGCTGGCACACGCACACACACACACACACACACACACACACACACACACACACACACACACAGCTTGTTTCTCACTAATCTTTTTTTCATATATACCTGATCCTACCCAAAAGGCTTCTCACAGCTCCCCACCAACATGCTCTGAGCTGTTCAGACTCAACTCCTTGCTCACTTGTTCCCTCCTAAAATGCTCTCCTCTAATCCATCTTTCACCTTTTGAGGTGTTTTTTTTTCCATCTTCCAATGACTATTCAGTTCATTTCAAAGCCTTCCTACTCCTTACAGGATAAAGATCAAACTCCTTATAATGGATGAGGACCCCAATTGTCTAGCCCACACATGCATTTCTAGCTAAGTTTCTTAATCACTCACATACAGGAAGTATTGCTCTTAGATTCAAACAAAAGGGACTGTGCCATGGCCACGTTCTTTAGGGCAACTCTGAGCCTCTTCCTACTGCATCACACCCCATGGGACAAGGTCAAAAGGATGTCCCCCCCACCGGAGTCTATCATATCCACCCCTTTTAAATCACTTTCCAGGAAATAGGGCTGTAAAATTCCTTGCCTAAATGGCCCTTTTTCAGATCACCTTTGTAAGGGTGAGCCGCACTGCTGATAGTCAGCCACCCAGGCCTTAAGGGTAGGCAAAGGACTGCTGCTTGCAGGAGTGTGAACAGACTGTGTACATGCAGGGTGGCAAGTCCACATATGTGCAGCCACATGCATGGGCTGGAAACAGAATCTCCTCACACCACCTCATTCCAATATAGAACTCAGAGGATCCCTAGAATTCAGCCTTCCAGGTTATTATAAAGGTATATTCGTTAAGGAGAGATACTAAAACACATTTTATTAATTTGTTACCTTTATTTTTAACTTTACATGTTTAGGCAAATCATACATATAGGCCTCCATTTGTTATTCTTGCCCTGGGCCCTGCCGATGTCTAAGGCAGGCTTGCTCCTAGGGAGCCAGTTTTCTAACCACACTAAATATTTGCAGTTCTCTACTGCCTTGTCTTTCCCAAACATCAGTTACTTTGTACAGGCTACTATCTCTGTTTATAACGCCTGAGAGTATCTTTGCACTCCTGAAGTATACTTTAAGAAGTTGAAAGGCAAGAATTACCACCATTGTTGGTATTATCTAATATTGTTCTCAAAGTACTAGCCAATACAAGTAGAGAAGACAAAGGAATAAGAGATATTATATAGAAATGAGGGAGGAAATTCATATCCTTTTCATATTATATGAATTTGAATTTGAAAAGAAAAAGAGAATCAACTAAAAAGTATTTTTAAATGATAAACTATGATAAGGAAGGTAGTTATACAATTAATTTACAAATATCAATAGCTTTCCTATATGTAAACAATACTCAAATAAACCACAAAATGAAAAAGATAATTTCATTTACTATAGCTACAAAAAGGTAAAACACTTGCAAATAGACTTCAAAGAAATATGTAGGATGTTTATCCATAAAATTTAAAGAAAACTTTAAAATTCTATTTAAGAAAGTCTGAAATAAAATGCATACCTTAGTAATTGAAAAGATTTGACTGTAAAGATGTCAGTTCTTCCCAAATTAACATCTCAATTCAATAGAATAGCATTCTAATTACAAAAAAAGATTATATATATATATTTTTGAACTTGATAAAATAATGTCAAAGTTTACCTGGAAAAATATATGTAAGAATAGCCAGAAAGTTGCTCCCAGATATTAAAATTAATTACTTATCGTATTTAAATGTTTAGTCCTTGTTTTAGAAAAGACTACCAACATAATCAGAAATTGACTCAAATACTTATGAATGTTTGATCGTATGATAAAGCTGGAGTTTTGAATCGACAGAATCAGCTAGAAAATGATTTCACCAACAAATGGCATTATATCACCTGGCTGGCTATTTGGAGAAATAAATAAAAAGGGTTGACTACCTCATTCTTTATATCAAAATTAAACTACAGACAGATTGAAGATTCTAATATAAAAATGAAATCCGGTCAAGCTCTAGAATAGAACAAGAGATAACTTTGTAAATAATCTTAAATTGAGGAAGACTTATCTAACCATGTCACAAAGATCAGAATTCAAAAATAAAAAGATTGATAAATTTGACATCAAACCATTTAAAACTTACTGCATAGCACAAAGAAAAAAGCTAATCATACCAATTATTAAGGCACAAGTGGCAATCTGAAAATAATTTGCAATATATATCCAAAAAATGGCCAGTTTCCTTCACAAACAAAGAGCCCTGGTAAATACAATGTTTAGAAGATCAACAAACTAATAGCAAAATTAGCAAAGGAACTGAACTGATCATAAAAAAGAAACACACATGCAAATAATTGTTTGAAGAAATGCTAACATCTGCTCATAATTTTTAAAAAAACACACAAATCAAGAGGATGTGAGTTACCAAAATTTGCCATTGTGGTGACAAAAGTGTATAATTTCATAAAATTTGGGGTTTGTGGGAAAACCAGTATTCTTGTACAATATTGTTGGGGGTGTAACTTTGTGCAGCTTACTTAGAGGTCAATTTGTCAGTCACCATCAGAGAAAATGATTGAGTGCAGTGACATGGTCTCCTAAGGCCAATGACAGCCCTTAACCACTGGGATAGTGAAGTCAAATTTTGTCATCTGCTCCTGGAACTAGCAGGTAAGAAGTCTTCATTCTTCAGTATCTAATCCCTAAAATCACGTTTGTTCTTTTTCCAACCAGAGAGAGAACAAAATGAAGAGAGGCAATCGTACCACAGTGACCGAGTTTGTCCTCATGGGATTCACAGACCGTCCTGAGCTTCAGCTTCCCCTCTTTGTGGTGTTCCTGGTAATTTATCTCATCACCCTGGTAGGAAACCTTGGCATGATCCTGCTCATCAAGGTGGATTCGAGGCTCCACACCCCCATGTACTATTTTCTCAGCCACCTGGCATTCATTGATCTATGTTACTCCTCTTCCATTGGGCCTAAGATGCTGCAGAATTTACTGGTGAAGAAAAAGACCATCTCCTTTTCAGGCTGTTTTGCCCAGCTCTACTTCTCCAGTGCCTTTGCCACTACTGAATGCTTCCTCTTGGCCACGATGGCCTATGACCGCTACATGGCCATCTGCAACCCCCTGCTTTACACAGCCATTATGACCCAGCGTGTCTGCAGGGAGCTGGTGATAGGGGTCTATACTTACGGTTTCCTAAACTCTGTGATACAGACAGTTCTGACTTTCCAGTTGTCTTTCTGCGATTCCAACATCATCCACCATTTCTACTGCGCTGACCCCCCTCTCCTGGCCCTCTCCTGCTCAGACACCCACAACAAAGAAAAGCAGCTCCTCATCTTCTCTGCAGTGAATCTCACTGGATCCCTGCTGACAGTCCTCATCTCCTACATTTGCATCCTCATCTCCATAATAAAAATCCAGTCTTCTGAAGGCAAGTGCAAAGCGTTTTCCACCTGTGCATCCCACCTCACTGTGGTCAGCATCTTCTACGGAACGCTGTTTGTCATGTACCTGTGGCAGCCTAAAGCAGGGAATTTGTGGAAGTACAACAAAGCGGTCTCTGTGTTTTACAGTCTTGTAATCCCCATGCTCAACCCCCTGATCTATAGCCTGAGGAACACAGAAGTGAAGGACATCCTGAAAAAGATGGTAGAGGGCAAGGAACCACAGTGAGTGAGTCCAGTCTGGGTTTTGTAAAGTTCCAAAGTACTGGTCTACTTGCTTGATGCAGTAATATTTAATGCCACCAATTATCACGAACTAATCAGAAATGATTTATAAGCTAGCCTGATTAATAACTATGTCCTTCAGATGTTGAACAGGAAGTGGCTTACTACCAATTAAGTAATAACATGAGCTATATATTCAAAAAGATCCCAAAAAGCCACATTCTGGGTGAAACTATAAACTAATGAGTATGGATACAAAATGGCGCACATGAATATCTATATTGTTAGAAATATTTTCAAGTTTAAAATGGGCCATATTGTAGCAAATTATTTGTTAATCTTAAAACATGTTTCTTCATAACATATTGCTATAGCTGGTGGCTAAATTTTAAGACCAGATCACTAAAAGCTTCTTTAATCTAATGTAGTTGAAATATTGCATGCTTAAAATGAACAATAGAAATAATAGTGTTACAACTATAATAAAGGGGGAAGCAGAAAAACTGAATCAGTTAAATGTGGGGTTTTTGTTTGTTTAGAAAAAGTATCTCTTCTAATTAGAGACAGATGGAGTTCAGGGTACTTTCAGAAATGTTATAAAGTCACTTATTCAACAGTCAGGGTTTAATTTTTCTAGTCTCTGTAAAGTACAGTTACAGTGATTTTTAGTGGGAAGGGTGGAAGAGGAGGGAGTTATATATGAATTTAAGAAAGGGAAAGAGAAGTGAGGAGAAAGAGAAAGGGAAAGAGGGACCAACTCCTAAGGTAACCAGGCCTGGATGTGCATGTTTCTGAGAAACGAAATTATTACCTTAAATAATCTGAATGATTTAGAGAAATGCTTTCATTTCTACAACATTGCCCATGTTCTTTGTTTCTCTTTCCACAGATCCGATAGTTTTGTTTTTTGCTGCTTGTGATCTAGTAATTCAGAAAAATAAAAACAGTTAGATAGACAGATAAAACTTCTCTTACTCAGCTCAGTAATTCAGCATACTCTTTTATTCAGCTCCTTTCTGGAGAGTTGAGTTGCAAGCTGTATTCCCGACCACTTGGGGACATGATGCTGGCTGTGGTTAAAAAGAAAGATATTACCAGCATAAAGGAACAAAGGGAGGAGAGGTATGAAGCAAGCCCAGGAGGTAGGAGAGCTTGCACAGGGAAGGAGCAAGCAAAGTGGATAGGAAAATGCCGATGATATGAGACAGATTATTAGACCACAAGCTCCTTGAGACTAAACAGAGTATCTCTTCATTTTGCACCCCAGTACCTACCATGGTTCCTGGCACAGAACAGGCACATCATAACTGTTTGCTAAACCCAGCTGAACTCTTCTGTATTTATTCCCAGCTTCAATGGATGGGTGGACATGGGACCCAGTAAAATGGCCCAGTGGTTGGGAAGAAACAGAGGGAAGGAAGTTACTGGGGTCAGGATGGGAAGACTATTTTCAATATCCCCCAGTGAGGCTAATGTCTTTAAGGCAGAAAGACACACAAAGGCACAACACAACCTGGCTGGTGAGAGAGACGCGTCTGGAAGGTGGCATATTGGGAAGATGGCAGCCACCAGAGTTGCTGATGGGCCATGACAGGCAAGGGACCGTTACTATAGGAAGAGGTTGCTATCAGTTGAGATAAAGAAAATAAGCAGGTACCAACACGTAGATGAGAAATTGTTTTCAATAAAAAGCCATACTCATTTCTTAAATTTTTTTCTAGGACTATTTCCATGTCATTTTAGTTTAGAAAAAGAAAGAAGAGTAAATAAATATCTTATATTTTAATACATGTCTCTGAGCAAATGAATTATGCTCATGGTCTAAGTGTACATTTCATTAGCTCTCCAGTTCTCTTCAGAGAAAAATGAAGAAAATACACCACGGGACCTCTCCATAACACCTTCCAGCTGTTGAATGTATATAGTGTGTTCAATATGCTTCCTTGAGTTCCTGTAAAACAAAGTGCAAAATTGAGAATATGGTATTCATAAATTATGAAGGAGATAAGTCCGTGTGTTCCTAAATTGCCTACAGACCTAAAAAGCAAAGAGGTAGGTGTGAGGAAAGGTCTGAATCAGCTACATTTCAAGCTAATATTTTCTGTTTCCTTTCCCTTGGGGGCTCCTTTGTCTTATAAATTTCTCTCCCTGATTTAGGCCTTATAGTAAGAAAAGTCTCAGGTGCAGAATGCTCCAATTACTTACATTTAAAAAATACATATACAGCACACTATACACATGAATAGTATTAAAATCACAATATTTAAGCTGCAAGAGAAACAAACATGATTATACCTTAATTCACTTATAAAGTGAGGCTGTTTCAATAGAATAATTATACTAATTTTTTAGCCCCAAACAAATATCTTCTTAGTATGTAAATGTTACCAAAGTGATAGTTTTACCTTTAGCATATTTTAAGAGTTCAACATTTCATTGAAAGTGAAAATAAAACTGTTCTCACACAGAAATAAGATGTAAATCCATTTTCCTCATGGTAATCCTGGAAATGAATGTTATTTGCTAGCATTCACTACATAGACCATTTCCATTAACAAGTCTAGTATGTAACTGAAACATATCACGTGCATATACATACATAAACTTACACTCATTTTCACATAAAATTCTGAATTCTTTAATCAGCTTAAGTTTAAATGTCTCCTCATTTAATACTCTATTGGTTTGTCATGCTTAGAAACACGCCAAGAGGATTTTTTTATTATGTTGATCATGAAAAATGGAAACATGTAGGGCAAATTCTATTCATTTTCTTTTGTATTATTGGATGTATAATAAGTATTTCAGAAACTTAAGAAATTAAAAATCTCAAATGTGTGCCCCCAAATATTCAACTCTGCCCTATGTATAATTCTAGCATTCTTTGGAGAGCAAGGTAGATTGGAAAATATTAATTCAGTGCTCAAGAGTGGCTCCTGCCTGCAATTAAGTGGTACATCCACCAGAGAGATAGTGAGCTGCTAATGTCAGAACTTGGGGAGTTTAGGCTCCTGGGAAGGTGATGGGCTCAGCCTATTCCTCCAAGCTCTTCTTTTTGTAAAAACTGCAAACATTTTATAAATAACTAGAACTTCCATCTCTGGTAAGATACAACAAATTGAATCATCTTTATTTTTTTTTAATCAAATAATTATTTCTTATGTCATTGCAAGAGCTTAACTCTCCTAACAAAGACAGTTTCCAGAAGGTTTTATTCCGTGGCCTGAAAGACCCTGTTTTATTCCTACAAAATCACTGTCTTCACTCCGGTGTCCATTCTAGCACCTGGACAGCTACCAATGCGCAGCTTCTGCCACCTCCTGCAGGCAATCCTGTTCGCTGCCCACATTGGCTGTGGTGCAAGAAGGGATAGAAAAAAAGCCTGCCAGGCTCAAGCACTCTCCAGCTCACCTGCAGCAAGGAATTCTGCATAACCACAGGTTTCTCATACTTGGGCAAGTAAAGGGAGTGCTCCTAGGTCCACTTCTGGGTTTCCCAAGATTTTTATTCTATTTTTATGTCTTCCCTCTTAGAACCATTTTTAACTCTCCTTATCCCTATCATCCTCTCTTTCATCTGAAAGCTATCATGAATAGTATGTTTACTTATCATCTGCCATAGCCAAACTAGCAAATAGCTTTCTTTACAGATCTTTTAGATGCAGAGTTTAAATCAATGCTAAAATTAATGTAATAAAGTAGCAAATTGAAAGGAAACTCTGATTCCTGTTATTTACATTATGAGGACTCATTTTTATTTTAAAAAGTATCTCTCACAAATTTGAACTATCTTCCCTTCTTGTATTAACCATGAATCGCAGATAGGTCCTGAAGTGTCCACAGGCACAAAATAACAATTCTATCAGCTTTAATCTAAGAATATTGTTTTTTGCTCTGCTTTAATTAATTAGGTGTTAAGACATTGTCTGCCAAGCTTTTATCTCCTGGCCTAGGGAATTCGTATTTCCCTACACATTGTTAAATTTATTAAAAGAAGGCTGTATGTATATGGCCACAATACTATACTTCTAGCTGACCGCTGCTCGTGTGTATTAATCCACTTTGGGGAACTATGTAGTAGGTGGCTGCACGGCAACCAAGAAAATAAGTCATGCTGAGCCTGAAAATATGTATGGCCTAAAAGGTGAAGATTTGCTTACCTAAAAAAAAAAGTATAGCATGGCCTCAAAAAGCAGAGAGAGCTCAAGACCTCTGCTTGGACTAGCAGTAAGCTTGGAATAGGTGGGCAGAAAATAGCAGGAGAGTTAAGGGCCTGCAGAGGCCTCATTCCACCCTCTGTCCCCTCCAGTGCTTCCTACCTTCTTGTAGAGGGGCGGCTAGGATGGGAATTCTACTTCCTCTCTTGCTCTACAAAGAGAGCAATCAGGGACCTGAGATGTGAGGATCTTAGGCTGGCAAGAGGGGAAGAAAGGTTGCAGGGGAGATGCCAATGTGTCATTTCTCGGACCCCATGGAGGGCTGGCCAGTGTTTTACTTCTTTAAGGAAGAGTGAAATATTCAAGTGCTGATGAACCATGAAGGTTAATGCAGAGTTGCCTGTTAACTACAGTAGATGATCAATAAAAGTTAACCGAATCTCGGTTTAATCTACTCTCTCAATTTTGTTCTCTGTCTCTCACACACATGCACATCCTCATCACATAGGTGCTCTGTTGGGACCACAAGCTCCAAATCTTGATGATCAAATTGACCATCACCTTCTACTCACAGCCAGCTTCTTCTGCTTTTCACAGTTTTGTACATGGCACATTACCCCACTCACCTTGTTCACAAAAATTATAGTTACTTTTGACCTCTCCTTGTTATCTTCATATTTCAAAAGGGAGACAAGATTTATGCATTATTTACCTACCCCTTCCTTTCCATTCCCATTACCACCATTATCATTACTTTGTACCTGGATCTCTCTGTGTCTTTGTTTCTAATCTCTCCACTTCAAAGATCCTCAGTAGATTCACGTATGTATGAGTACAGTGCATGATCA